GACTCTCAGCGGTGCTGTGTGATGGACGTATAATTACATTCTATGCCTTACAAGGAAGGCTCCCAGGTCGCCATGGCCATTCAAGAAGAGATGTATACGCTAGATGTGCCTTTGAACGCTGATCTCAAATCTACCTTCCAAATCTGCTAAACGATTCTCTGAACGGAGTTATGAAGCAAAACAGCGCAACGGCAGTGGTCGGGATTTGCAGTCAAAACGTCGTAGGATCGGCCCCTGATCGCGTCTACTGTTTTGCCTTCTTCAGGAGTACAGCTAAAAGGCTTTAAATAGCCTATTTAGCCTAATTCCTGAAGAACGCAAGACAGTAAACGCGATCAGGGGCCGATCCTACGACGTTTTGACTGCAAATCCCGACCACTGCCGTTGCGCTGTTTTGCTTCATAACTCCATTCAGAGAATCGTTTAGCAGATTTGGAAGGTAGATTTGAGATCAGCGTTCAAAGGCACATCTAGGGTATACATCTCTTCTTGAATGGCCATGGCGACCTGGAGCCTTTCCTTGTACGCGAAATCACTTCAGTACACGCTACGACTCGTCCGCTGACTCTGCCTTCTTGCTTCGCGACAGGCCTCTTGTCGGGTACCTCGTTACGTGAGGGATGTGCTGCATACATGGCGCGATATTTCTAATACGCATCACCGCTGGTAGGGCATGTTACATCTACCTCACTTGGGTGATCAACAAGCTGCCCGTCAGCTTTAGTTCAAAAAACAGTAAACAAATTGAAATGAAATTGGCAAGTCTCCAAAATTTCCATAATCAACACTATTCGCATAAAATGAAAGAATTGTGTCGATTTGGGGTTTCGGAGGATGCCTCAAAAAATGTATAAATATATAAATACAAGTTTTCTGAAGCGTTAATCACGCTTACGAAGCTGATGAACGGTTTAGAGGTAAAAATGTATCCAGCCCTTTCCTAAGATCTAACGAAGACAAAAAGAGGTAGAAATCGCTATGCAAGCGAACGGAATGAAGTTTTCTAAAAAAGGAAACTCACAGCCATCGTGGTGACCGTGGAAGAAACGGATTGAGTGGGATTGCCGTGAGGTGATAGTGCCAGTAGACGAGCGGGTTCAATTTGCTGTTCGGTGAGATTGATAGGCATTTGAAGAATCTGCACTCTTTCTGTTGTCGTCACCGTACGCGATTGAAATGGAGAAGTTGACCTGGAACAGAAACAGGCTATCTTTTCGGTAAAATACTGAGTAATTCATTTAATTCCAAAAAGAATACTACCCAAATGAAACTGGAATACACTCTACAAACTTTATAATTTGGAAATTGAGGGTTCCTAGAGCGGTTTTACAAGAACAGACAGGCCATCATAGGCGCGGATTGGTAGCTATGAACAGATTGGATTGGTTAGCTGTAGCTTGTTAGCCGTCAGACGACAGAGACACCAATGAGACATGCGAGACATTCAGAGGAGGAGTGAAATGAGTCAGTGTCATTTGGCCAGCTAATGACTGAACGATAACCAGCCTTCATCCCATCCGGAAAGCGCAGCGATTTACCATCGAGTTGTTAAGTAGCCTAGTAGGAACGCAACCAGCTTTGTAGCCTTGGATACCTTGGCTGAAGGGTCCCTCATAGAGGAAAGCGAATCAGGAGCGATTACCCTAATTTCCGGTAGAGGAGGAGTCAATATCACGTAAAAACACCTCCGCTCGTGCTGTGTAATTTTGTACACCTCAGAAGCTGCCGTAAATTTGCCTATAGAAGTAATTCGATGCTCTTGACCATGAAAACTGACTTTAATTTTTAGCGGTGGCGCCACTTAACGTCCAGTTGGCGTCACGCTTGTCACGACACATGTTTTCAAGGAAATTTGGTGTATAACTTCCGTATATAAGGGTTATTCGGGTCTGATACGAATATTGCAATTCCATATCTGGCGCTGGCGCTATTCGGCGCCTACTTTCTGCTCATCTGAACTTTTGCAACCCAGAAATATGCTGTTGAACAACTGGTAATGCCGCCAAAAAACGAATATCATGTTCGTAATCAGGGTACAAAATAACCCCTACACAGAAGTTAACACCGATTTTGGTGACGCCAACTGGCGCCAGATGGCGCCACTGCTAAAAATGACTTGGCCGTTTCGTGAATCAGTGTTTCTCGAATTGTACCCCTATGGACCAGTTACGGTGTGTTTGCTAAAAAGTGACGCAGTGCACCCTGCCCACCGGAGGTGTTTTACGCAAGATAATCAGGCCTTTCCTACGGAAATGTAGGGTAAAGTACCCCGCAGCGCTGACTTTATGCCACAATCAAAAAGGGTATACTGCAAAGTCCCCGGCTGAAGGGTTTCTGCCCGGGACAGGTTGCATTGGCGAGGAAAATCTGGCATAATTTGAACAACAACGAATTACGGGGCCCTACTGAATACTTCTGTACATAGTCCCTAGCCCCTCGACCAATACTGTCGATCATGCGAAAATTTACAAATAGCATTTTTCTAGATTTTTGTTCTCATTTGAAATAGCATAACAACATACCACCAACTCCTCACCATATTAAGGGGTCAGCTATTCAGTAATCACCCAACTTCTTAGCGAGAGAATACAAGCACACTCGAGTATACTGAATGACACATACCGTAATGGTGAGAGTTCGGTCCTTTCCCTCCTCGTTACGGTCCATGTCGGTCTATCCGACTGCGAATCTGTAAAGCAGAGACTATAATATGCAGAACCTAGAAAAGTTTTGCAAATCCTCATTAACAAGAGCAGAGTTGGAAACCATAGTATTTTCTTCCAAAGAAATAACAGAGTAAACATTTTAACACACGGCTGTGGCAGCCCATATGAACTGGCAGCCATGCGGACTGGTATACAATGGCAGCCCACATGGGCCGCCAGCTAATAATCGTCCGCCAATCGCTTTTAACAAATATGTATGTTTTCCGATATAATAAAACAAACGATATAATAACTCGATTAAGCGAAGCGAGCGACTCGCGAATTCGAGTTAGTGAACGGGTGCTTTACTCTATCGTGAGAGACTCTTTTGTCTTCCAAAGAGCTTCGAAATCAACGTTTTACACTTTGTTTGCCTACGTGAGCCAGTTAGGGTAGGAGCGGGTAATATACATTTGAGAACGATGCTCATTGGCAGACGTCGTTTCACTTTTATCGTCGTTCAAGAATTTTGCAGTTTACCAGCTTTATATACTCCTTTCCCCCGTCCTCCTTTCGCCACCAGATACGATTTGGAGTTCTTATTTGGATGGGTCAGGTGTGGGGGGATGGGTGAGTTTCAAAATCCGCATGTGCCTAGATCGACTAGCTTCAATGACATAATGAAGAGCATCGTACGTAAGCATTGAGAGGACCCCTTCGAAGGGGCCCAGTTTCGAAATTCTTCCCATCGTGATGATTGGCCCTGGTCCGAGATTTCCCAAGTGCATGGTGAAGTTAAAAAAGTTGTGTGTCCTCATTGAAAACAACAAGGCTCACTAAGTCGTTAAGTTCTTGCCACAACAATTGGTCCCAGACAGAATTCTAACTCACACCTCTTGCTCATTGAGGAATTAAGCTCATGCTAATGCTTTTGTTTTGAACTTCCCCATCGCTAGTGGCGGCGAAAAACTATAGTTGGCAAAACAAAAATGAAAAACTAATACCTCCTGGAACTTTCAGCTTCGCAGCTCACTGCCGATGTCGGTTAATTGGCTCATCACGTTATACGTGCGAGCACTGATAAGCTATGATAATTCTGCTATCGAAAGCTCAGTTAAGTTGGATTAAGTCCCGATAGTGCAAATGGTAAGATATTGGTCCGGAAAGCGGAGGGTGTGGGTTCGAATCCCGCCTGGGGTAAAGTCTTGCCCAGAATTTAGAACTCTGTCGTAATTACACTTATATGAGACCATAGCACTTATTTATAATTTCTAGTACTATCAAAAGGCTTACGTTCAACATATTATGTGTATTGTTTGAAAAATAGGTCCAATCAATTTCATATACATTTACTCCCCTCTTTCCCATGGGACTCTGTATGAGGACTTAGCATACTCTCAAAAAGAATTTCAGAAACTCAAAAAAGGCTTCCAATAAAAAGTTACGTTAGACTATTCATTCATATCCCCATTCTTTTGAGGGAAATCTTTTGAGGAAGAAAAAAAAGAATCACCTGGGCGCGGCGGCAATTTAGGTGGCCTCCCGCGATGATCGGCCATCCTCGGCCTGAAAGAGCCAATTATCAAAAACACCTATAAATTTTTCACGATTTCAGCATCAATCAACGATACGACGAGCGCAACAGAAAACAGCAAATATTGAGGCAAAAACTGAAGGAATTGATTTTACATAACGAACAAGCAGCTACAAATAGATAATCGACGGCATGGAACGGGCATTAAAACGTCGTTGTAAGATGGCAGACGCAACAGCTTTAGATGTTTTTCGGGAGCATGAGGTTATTGATTAAGATGTATGTTGCGAGCCGCGGGGCACGTTCTATAATTAATCATGGCGCAGGGAGTTGCATTTCAGACAGACTGCGTATTATAGTGTGATGAAAGGGATCACCGAGAAAAATTAAACGATGGGATCTTGAGGAATTAGCGGTTCTCAGAAATCTGAGGGGTTACCGATGAGAGACAAAAAAAAAAACGTCGGAGAATTCTGAATTAATCGATTCATAGATTTTACCTTCTAAATCAGAAGTCACATTTGAAGCGATGAGAATATCAGAGTGACGATAGAGCTGGTACCCACAGTAATAGAAAAGAAGTTTAGAACCATTTCAAAAGACCTTACTAACTTTACGGGTCTCTTTAAGATTTTCTTTTTATTCTATTTATTAATTACTTCAGTATCTTTGTGATTCACGTCGAGAAATGCCCTGGAAAGCGAGGCAGCTCGCAAAAAAGTAGAGCATGCGGGATGTGCCTGAAAATTGAGCTCAGCAGTTCAATGCCGATATGGGCTAAAACGCCTATTCCGCATAGTGAGTGAACGCTGGTCGCATCAGGCGTAGGTAGTGTAATTTACAAACAATGTGCTGTGGCTCACGTTCCACCGCTTCTCCCTGCCCCCCCCCCCCCACACCTCCTCCGCCTCAAGTTACCGTCTTCAAAAGGCCGCGTTTCTTATCAAATCTGCGCCACGTAGGTGACCTTTAACCATAGATCACCTAAAAAATTGCCATGTCGAGATGAGGAAACGTTGAGCGACTTCTTCTGCTATATAATGAATTTTTTTATTGCTTTGGAAATTTGGTTGGCGAGTATCGGTTGCCGTAGGATGAAAAATGGACTCGAAAGCGCTCTGTGAAATTGAAAATGAGCGGGAGTATTTCCATTCAATTTTCAAGGCCTACATGGCTCAGAGGTACCTGCTTCATTTCGGGAACATTCGAGCGAGTGACCCACTCACAGTACTTGGAACTAAGCCTTAAGGAGGGGAAGGGGTGATGTGAACAATTTTTTGGCCTTTTATTTTCTTCCAAAAATTAAGTCGTCTATGAAAAGGAAAATAAATGAGCAGGTCTATAGGTAGTACTAGGCCCAAGTTAAGCAGTACATGTATGAATGAAAAGGATCGACACTGTAAATACCATATTCAGCAGTCATCTTTACAATTCATTTAAGAATAACGTTAAACCTCGAATACATGCGAGGGTTCTTGTCACAAAATTGAGAACCTCGAAAATCCTATTTTTTGTACATAAGTGGCTGTCAGGCTAAATCAAGGAACAGTACACGTACATAAGTTGGTGGCTAAGATAACCACAAAATTGTATGCAAACTAATTTGTAAATATCTAGCGCCATAATTCAAAATACTTGTAAATCACGAAGTTAACTTATTGGCTTTTAACCCTTTGACGACCGCCGTTATGAATGCGTCACTTCACTTCTTTCTAAATTTTTTCATCAATAATCATTAACTCTCCAACAATTTCACTATTAGTAATTAGCAATTATTATTATTAGTAATATAAATAT